CCATGGCCTAGATTTTACATGTCATGTAACAAAATATATATTTAGGTCTCCATTCTCACTGTTGCTGTCGTTAAAAAAGCGTTACTTTACAGAGCAAGGATGGTTTGAAGACTGGTTGTTAAGCGGGTCGGTATTTATATTTATAAACGTATAACTTACAAGAAATACTTAGATGTTTGTGGGCAAAAGAAGGCCTCTATAGTGTAATGACAAACACAAACTACAAATAATATATATATATATATTATTGTGATATATTTAAACCTGTCTCTAAATGTGGCTGATTTAAACGAAAATTATTAATAATCTAATGAAAATTATATTTAAATTTAATATATTTATGTAAGTTAAACGAATATACCGAGCTATTAGGATTTTATATAGATTTAAAGAATTCGAAAATTAACATTTTAAAGATAGGAATGCTTTTGAATTACAATTAAATTCAGTCTTTAAAAAAATGTTTACTTCACAACTTTATATTTTCGATATAACTGTTAAAAAAATCAGAAGACAGTTGGTGTTACTAATTTTGAGACACAATCCCACTCCGAACTCTACTTTTATGCACTTACGTTATGCTAACCACCAAAAAACTCAATTAGCTTTTTCGTTTGGTAAATTAATGGTTGAAAAAAAGCCAATCGGGTTATGACCTCCACGCAGAGATCAAAATCCGATTAAGTTTTTTTTTTTTTAGTTGTCACCTAACTAGGTGTTTTCAAATGCTTAACGTGTTTGTTAGTTTTAGAGATTTTGCACAAAAATAACTCAAAAGGTTGTCTGCGCATGTCTGTCCTTAATTTTGTTTGATAGCCTAGAGGGAAGGCAGCTAGTCAGCGGCACTCATAACCAATTCTTGGAATGGCTATTCTTCTCTGACCAAATAGGCTGATTTGACTGTCACTCTTACAGCACGCCAAAACGCAGTTGTTGTTGGTTTTGCAGAAACAGGAACCTTCGGATTCCCAGTCCTGATACAGCCCACAAACATTTAGCATCTCAACCTTCATAAGACGAAACAACTTAATATAATTTTAATGCAATTATCTATTTTGATTTATGATTTAGTATGTGTTATGTAAGGTTTATCCTAAAGTCAGACTCTAAAGCATGATTTTAAATGTCAATTAAAACAATTAGCCTCAGCTGTACTGTTGCTAAGAAAGATAGGCCCGGCATGGCCAGGTGGTTAGAGCGCTCGACTCGCAATCTGTGGGTCGCGAGTTCAAATCCTCATCACACCAAACATACTCGCCCTTTCAGCCGTGGGGGCGTTATAATGTGACGGCCAATCCCACTATTCGTTGGTAAAAGAGTAGCCCAAGAGTTGGCAGTGAGTGGTGATGACTAGCTGCCTTCCCTCTAGTCTTACACTGCTAGATTAGGGACGGCTAGTGCAGATAGCTCTCGTGTAGCTTTGCGTGAAATTTAAAACAAACAAACTAAGAAAGCTGCATACACTAGCTAATGGTTCTTCGATGTTCTCTAAAAGACTTTGTTCTCTCTCGTACAATTTTAGTTTCCACTGTTCAGTATCGAAAATAGAACCTATCGAATTTAAAAGAAAAGAGAGAGAAAAAAAAAAGGCACGTCTAAAATAGCTTTCTATTATACAAAATAAGCTTCATAATGTAAATTTGAGGGCTATTACTTTTATGGTGTAAGAATCATTTATTGTTATATTACTGACTGTCCATAATGTCACAAAGGAGCTCTTCAAAATATTAAATCAAATAACAGGAAACAAGATTTGGTGATAAAGTGATATATTTCTCAAGTTGTTTTTTAGTTATACAGTGTAAGCGAAATCCCACAGTAGTTTATTATTCTGTCTTTGTTGACAACAATGCATAATTATGTATAATTATAAAAGAGTTTTACGTTTTCATGATGTATGAACTAAAGCTTCTTAAATGCCATCGAAAACGCTCTTATGTATATTGAACTTTTTGGGACT